GGAACAAGAAACAGTATTACTGTTTTGATTCATTCACGTGACAGGACAAGTGACACACTAACTTGTTAAGAGTCATGGTGCAATTTTCAAACAGTGAAGTTCTGTAGTTCCTAGAGCAAGCTTCCTCTGTCTCACTACACCATTCTTTGCTGGTGGAAGTTAAATATTGGTAAACATCTACTTATATTACTCTCAAGTAAAGTTATCACTTTCCTTAGTATTTTTATTCAGATTGCAAACATCTATTCAAAAAAATTCTGCAGCCTATGCAGAAGGAGGCAGCAGCATGAAGCAAGGAGCTGTTTCCATTCAGAAGCGGCAGCACACAGGCCAGCCTCGTCGTTACAAAGCCAGACGGTAGTGCAAATGGCACCAGCTAGGTACCCTACCTAGGGCTTGGAATGGGCAATCTTCTCTGCACAATCAACAATGCTTTCTGCAGCACTGTGATAAAGCTATCCAAAATATACAGTCTTTGGGAGAACAAAGATGCCAAATTTCTTGTTACTGTAACCTCTGCGAAATGCTCCATGTACTTAAGGATCCGCCTCCCTCACCATGAAGTAGCTACAAAACATCTATTTCTTTGTCTTCTAAATCTAAAGGCTTTTCATTGTGAAGTCATTCAACGTGAAATCAACTCAGAGCACCCTCTCCTTGGACAACCATACTTTGCCTTTCCCATTCCTAGTCTTAATGATTTTTTTTCTTTGTTTTTAAATTCTAAAGAATCACCTGTAAGTAGGAAGTATTTCACCATTTTGTGTGTGTTGGGGTGGTAGTTTGTCTACTGCTTTTGTTTTTCAAGTAGAGGTCACTGTTTAATGTGATGTACCTCTTGAAAGAAACACATACATTAGCCTGACTTAATGAGGAAAAAAGAAATTTGATTTACCAATACAAAATCATCTCCTATCTGCAGAAAGTGCTAAAAACTTCCACAAGTTGCTTTCAGTTGAAATCAGTTGAATTATTAACATGCTTTATCTCTGCACTGGTATACAGACCAATTCCAAGATAAACAGGCAGACTGCAGCTGTATTAGATACAATAGCTACCTCTCATACAAGCATTTAGGAAATCAAAAGTAAGAAGTGCCAGGCCTTTGTCCTTCTCTTCAATACTGAGAAGACATGAAAATGGAAATTCAGTTTTAGTGAAAACAGATGCCTTTTCATTTTTTGTTTTAATTTGGCTACAGATTTATTTCAAAATCTGAGAAGACTGCTGCTAAACAATAAGATATTTGAAATAAAGTTTTTAGTGCAGTAAATAACTGATGGTAGTCCTCACCTGCAATTTTATTGAGGTGACATACCTTCCCATAGAATAAAGCTGTGCTTCAAAGTAATTTTTCCTACCATCTTAATACTGCATACGGCATATCAAAACATTTGTATTAAATAAATGCATCAGTGTAATATTTTACAGCTTCCTTTGACTTACCAGGGATCAGTATTTTTAGTCAAGAATTTGACACTAAAGCTTTGCTAGTGTCAAACAAGTTTAAGCCGTGTTTGCTATGGTCTCCGGTTCAGGTGTTCCATAAATTAAAAAGGTGAAATCTTTACTGAAGTCAACAGCAAAACTTGCATTGACTTCAGTGAAGCTAGGATTTTACTCAGAAATTCTTACGATTCATCTCATAGTTGTTTATTGTTTCAAATGTATTCTTCCATATTTTATGATAATTTTAGTTCTTGGTTATATTTTGGAAGACCTCCAGATAAGTGGATATAGATGGTTTTCTGCATCGCCAGCAGTGCCCCAGCTAGCACACTGGATTAGCAGTATTATATAACAGATGTGAAGCGTTTCTGAGTTACTGTGTGGGAAGTCACCGCACTTCACAACAATTATTTTACTGCTACTCACAATATCTGGGACATTATTGCTTAAATGAAAGATCATTCATGTGCGATACACTGCATCCAATGACATAAAAAATAGAAAAAATACACAAGGTCAGAAGCCCTGTCAGTATGTTGATTCACTCTGTAATTTACAGTTCATACCATATTACTGCAGTAACTTTGTATAGCATTCACAATAACAAAAGCACCCTAGTTAACTCTTAAATTTACTGGGAAAATTTAATGCAGTTTCCTAAAGCTTTTAATGTTGACTTTTCTTCACATCCAAAGTAAAAACTGAGTGATTACAATAGGAATTGGGCAGGCCTCTGTTTTTAACCATCCTATCAGCTGTACCAAGTATTAAGTAATGACATTGCATCCTAAACAAAATAGGAAAAGGATATCTCAAACATACTAAATGTTGGGAGCAGGGATCCTGGAATCACAGTAGTTCACCAATGCCACTGGAGCAATTTCTTAAAAAAAAAAAGTAAAGAGGAAGGTGGCATGCCGTAATGAACAATGTGAAGTCACTAGATGTGTGAATAAACAAAAATAAATAAGATGATGCTGGGAATCAAATGGAAAGGGACAAAGGGGATAATAGGCAAATTCTCGTACAGGGAAGACGGCACAATTTCCACAGACTGCTTTAAAATTAAAAATTAAAATTCAAAGCTTTTTTAGCATCTTCTTTGCAGTTGCTCCCAAAAAGATCATGATGGGAACACCCAATTTTAGCAAGGCTTTAGATTATTATTTTTTTTAAAAGCAGCTAAAGAAAGATGAGAAAAGATTCATCCAGACACAGTGGACCTTTCTCAGATTGCTCCTAAGGATACTTGAAGGCCTTAATCTTTGCAATGCTAAAAAGGAAGCCTTGGAAGAATCATGATTATCCTTCCCCATAAGCATTAAGGCGGCCATTATAATTTCCAATGAATGGCAAAGCAAGACTTTCTAGCAAGTTTGTGGGGAAGAACTCCAGAGTATTTTAAAAAAAAGTTATTTTAGTAGTTTTCAACTTCAGAGATACAGTTTAAAATGAGTACATTAATTTCATATCCAGTTTTCAAGTTACTTAGGAAATAAGCTAAGCTTAAAATAACCTGTAAGCATCTGGCATGCTACATCAAGGGAATTCTTAATGTTTACACTGTGATGTAACTTTATAAATTTAGCTCTAGTAGGAAAAAAGTTACTTTATGATCAGAAAACTATTTAAATATGACAATGAAATAGTAGTGTAGATCAGTTTAAGCCATATAACTGAAAGTGACAATTTCAGTTAGCAATTCTATGGCTAACATGCTGAAATAGAACTTTGTTGTTGTTGTCAAATACCATAGCAAGGAATTGAAAGACAATGACTTACTCTTTTTGAATGGTTATGTTCTTCAAATGTAGCAGACAACAAGCATTTTGCTTAATGATTTATATTACTTTTTCATTTTAGTCTTAGCATGACTTTTCAGATATTGCCTTTAATGAAAAACAGAGATTGAAGTTGTTAAAATGAGTATTATGTGAATGATTTAAAAAACAATTAGAGAGATTTGAAATACCATATTTCAAAGGTCAAAGCAATCCAGTTTCCTTAAGCAAGTATTTATGTAACTTAAGATTTATATCTAGGACTTTGCAAATTAAGTTTTACACCAGCCTCTCCATGAGCTGTACTTTAAGAAAACACTATATAAATAATAGTGGTTTTTAACCATTACACATGAATCAGCTTGTTTCAATGGATTTAAAAATAATGTATCTTTAAAAAAAAAAAAAAATCTTGTCATCAGAAAAAGGTTATTTTTCCTCTCAGCTATTGATTTTAAGGACTATAGTAAATGAAGTAAGGAGTAAATTATATCCCTCCCTCATTCTTTTATGAATTATGTTACATGGGGTCTTGACCAGTTAGAAAGAACAGAATCAAATCTTGTTTCACGCTTGGCAAACAGTATCCCTCAATCGAAATTAACTTAGCCTGAAATAAAAAAATCTGTGACAGAACTTTTTTTTTTAAATTGAGCTACCTATTCATGAAGAACAAACTAATGCAAACAGATTTATTACTAAAATTATGAAATTATTTGCAACTTGTTTGGAGAAGAACTCAACTGTGTATGGTTTCAGAATGTTCTCATAACACCGAGAATTTGTGCAGAAGCAAACAAATACATAAACTCAGAAGTTTCAAAAAACCACCACAGTGGAAATTTTTCTTTTTCACATTTATCCAGAAAAGTCTAATGTCTCAGCACAGTGACATTTGTACAAACTGATTTGTGTGCTATGCCACAGTTGTGTAAATTACACAATAAATCCCGTAAACACTAAAAAGATAAACACTGATATTTCTCAACTAAATTATGGATATACCTGTTGTAAAAATGTAATGTGAGATCAGGAGCAATATTACACAAAATCCTGAAAGTCACAGCGTAAACCTGAGATTTTGGCAGTTTTATCAAAATGTCCTAAATTACTCTGTATGCATCACTAGTCCCCATGTCTTACTCACCATGTATATTTGTTTGTCCCAAACAAAGAAAAGTAGACAACTTTTTTTTGTCCAACAATACATTAAAGCAAAAGTGATTAGGTATTATCAAATTAAATATCATAAATAAAAAGTATTTACAGTATTTTCTAATTATTAGACAACAAAATAACCAATTAAATTGTGCAACGAACTTAAAACACCCAACATCAAAAATGTGAAGTATTACTTAAATCTTCACATACTGATTTTACAAAAAACTATTAAAATATTTAAAAATTTCCATTTTATCTATTTTAAACAAAGAAATTTCAAAAATGTTTAAGACTATTAAGAGTTATCAATTACACAGGCACTTCACATGTAAACAATCTACAGTACAACTGAAAAAATATTTGGCACCAACCTAGAAGACTGGAAAAAACTCAATAAAATGTGTCCTTTTCCCATTGTATACTGTTTTGTGTAACCACCATACACTCAGACTAAATACTGGCAATGTTAGAAGTGTGTAAGTTACAATCAGGAGTGCAAAAAATAAAGAACGTAAATATTAAGCTTTCTAAGAGAGTGAAAGTGGATTACAAGTGATCAGTCACTCGCATTTTTACCATCATACCGTCGCTACATTTTTGTCTTACCTTTAAATCAAATGATTGACTTGAAAGATTAAAGTGAGGGGGGGCGTGCTTTGTACTACTAAAATAATTCAAACAACATTTTCAATGTAAGAAAAGAAATCCAGCATTTAACTGTAACACTGTGAGATGTTAAATGGCAGCTTTTAACTTAAATTAACTGAAAAGAGAACCTGATGCTACCACAATCTCTTTGTGCATCCAATTACAAAAGACAAAAAGAATAATTATGTTCTTTTAACTGTCAGCTGACTCCAAGGTTTTCACGTACAACTCCAAAGTAAGGCTCTCTACAGCATCTGGACAGATACTAGTTTTTGATGGCTTGGATGTTCCCATGTAGGAAGCTGAACTGCCTCAGAGCAATCCAAATCAACAGATCAAATGGTAAGTTGTCTAGCTTCCAAGAAGTCATATCAGATGGAGGAAAGCTGAGATACTTTCAATGCTGGCAATTCAAGCAGAGCTTGAACTGTGAGGCCAACCTTCACCAGACCCCTCTCCTCCAGAATGTGATGAGGCAAGCAAAGTCTCTCCTGCAAAATAAAGCGGTACGTGTAAGCTTCATTCATTTTTACCCCAAGGCGGGTAACAAATGCATTTTCTCTGAAGTCACACATATATCACTATAAGACACTTGCACAGAAAATGTCTTCGGCCTTAAATTTCACATGTGGTTCTCTACAGTAACAAAATGGTCAGAAACTAATTATATCTAAGATCTGTTTAAAGTGTTAAACTATGACAACATCAGAAGATACATAAGACTGCTAATTTCATAAAGCCAAAGACCATTTCTTTTCATAAGCAGAGCAAGAAAAACAGGCTGATGGGCACTGTTGGCTCAGAGGCCTACTTCCCCCTTCCCTTGTTTTGTAGGCTTATTACCCATTTTTCCCTTGGGAAAACTTGGAAGTGCTGATATACTGGGCCCTCAGTAATGAGCATTCCCCAAGAAAGTCACCTTTCAGTTTCAAAATTCAGCACAAGCTGGACAATCTTCCCAACTGCTAGCTGGCATTACGTGTAATTCAGGAGGTAAATCTTAGCATATCTAACTTCCGAATGGCCTGTGGCTCCACGCAAGATAGAAGCTGTGGTAGAACAGTAACCCGGGCTTTTAAATCCATGAACTAATTTTCTTGTTCCACTAAAAAGGGTCGAGGGAGTTTTTTGTCTCTCATAATATGCAAGAAATGATTTGATCTTTAGGTTTTTTTCCCTCATACAGGGAAGTAAGAGGATGAACTTGGGCAACAGAAGCATGAATAATGGGCTGCAACTATGGCCGTGCTAAAAAGACAGCTTATCAGTTAGGCTACGTATTTCTGTAATTGCAGGATTTTTCCTAAGCAGACACTGAAATTCATGCCAAAGTGAGTTGCTAAGCTCAAGACTTTCAAATATTACAACATGATCCTCTTACATTAGTTCTTTTGTTTAGATGATAATTTATTTTACCAGGTGGTCAGTATTATTTTTCCTGTAAGGAACTGACTAGAAACCCATAAAGTAGCTCCCTCAAGTTCATGCCACAGGCCAGAAATGGGACTTCTTTTCATATCTTCAAGTTCCCTGGTCAGTGTTATAATCACTATTGCTCCCTGAATTAAGCCCCCCAAAAAACCCAACTTCAGTATTTGCTGACATTTTCTGTGGTTATTAATAATAAGTCAATAAAGCAATACCTGTGGAACGCCCAATTTTTTACAAGCATCAAGAAAGTTTTCAACATTTCTTCGGCACTTTGCCATACTGAGTTTAGGCTGTAAAGACAGGATGTTAGATCTTCATCATACATTTGTGAAGGACTGTATATTTCTGATGCAAATTCAGTAACAGTTGCTAAACACAAACAAATTCTATGAAGACTCAGTATATGAAAATAGCTCTTAAACTAAACTTCTGAGTCTTGTTTAGTGCTTCTTGCAGAAAAATTGAAGTGAGGAATGTAGCCAATTAATATGGTAAACATGATTCATGATGTTTGAGTATTGAACTTAAAAAGCTTGTTTTCACATAAGATGCAACAAAAGTGAGATAAATGACTTACCACTGCTGGCGATGGTACGTGAATGCTGGCAACAGAACGTGGCCTTATGTGATTGGCTAAATGGCAAAGAACTACTCCATCCATCAATGCTGCTCCAATGTCATCTGGCAAAATTACTTTTAACCTTGATTCAAGATTCTATTAAAAAGTCCATAAGTAAGTTACTTTCAATATTAGCTAGTTTTTATTTTTAAATCCAGGGTATTTTAAAGCATTCAGTTTAAAAGGGACATTTTAATACTAAAGTGAAGTAAATGGAGTCAACTCACACTTTACTGAGTACAAATATCCTTTTCTCTTTATCATTAACCTTACATTCCCTTTGCTTTTTTTTTTAATGACACAACTACATACGTTGAGAAAGACATTCAGCCAACAACTATCATGATACATAGCTCTCAAAGCCATACGACAAACTCACTACTCATGATAGGAAAGCACAGAATTTAAGGACAGAAATGTTAGGCTGAATACCTCATTAGCTGTTAGCTAGCAGAATTTTACTAGGAGAATGAGGGGGAAAAAAGAGGGGAACAACCACTTTGAGCATGGCTATTTCACTCGTGCAGATGACAGTTAAATAGCTTTAGCGTTGCAAAACAGAGAAGGGAAGTAGGGAATGTTTTTTCCCCACCCCAGCAGCAAGCCTTCACTGCTCAGGAAGTGAACCAGACAAGACAGAAACAGCCTTCACAGAAGTCAGACCCCAAATTAGTACTGCCCTGGAAAGCAGAGCTGCTACAGTTAACTGTAACTGTTAAATATCTTGAGAACAGAACTATACAGAAAACAACTTACTGGAAGTCTGAAATTTAGATCCCATTCAGTATTATATAACTTGTAGCAACTTTCTACACTCAAAAAGCATTTGGCTATTCAGAAGACTGACCATCTTTCTTCAAATCTCAGGTCAAAGAGCAGCAAACACTAGCAGACTTACTGTCTCCGTAGGAAAACCTAAAACCTCAGAAACCTAAAAAAAATTTCATTTTTCATTTCACTTCATTTTTCAGCTGAAAAAACATTTAGCTCCTGGTTGGTATTTTCGTTGAACCAAAAATAGTACCAGTGTAGCCTGTTACATGAAATTTCTTAGGAAGAAATATCACTACAGAGATGCCCTTGTACAACTCTAATGATTTGCAGGCCTTTATGATGAAGGTTTAAATTGTGGTACATAGCAAACTAAATGCACTGCACCCATATAGTAAATAATGGTACATACATTGCGAAGTTGTCTTATCTGTTCCCTTTCTTCCCTTAAATGCTCCATTTTTCTCCTCATTGTAAATCCAGGATCCACTGCACCATAGTCCTGGCGAGATGCACGGCTGAAAGCTATTAAACATTATTTAAGTTAGTTTTCAGAATTCAGGTTAAAAAAATGCAATGACTAAAAATCTACCACCAAGGATAAAAATGGGAAAAAAGCTGAAGAACTTTTCAGAACAAATATATTTAAGTATCCTGATATAAAAGATGCTGTCTATGAAACTTATCTTTCAAATAAAATACAGTGATCATCTTACGTAAGTGCAAATAGGTAACTAGAAAATATGGAGACAGAACTGACTTCAATATTCAAATATCTGTTTGAGATATACAACTCCCTTTGCACTTTTACAAGCATATCTTGCAATCTAGCTTTGAAAGTATTTTCATTGTGTTTTACTTTTAATCAAGTATAAAGTCTTTATGGAGACTAAAAAAAGGGACAGAACTCCCTGATATAAACTTACGATGAAAGACTTACAATATATATATACACACACACACACACATATGCATGTGTTCGGTGTGCATATGCAGAGACACGGTGATTGCTTATTAAAGAACTAATTGAAAAATATGAAATGTCTCATCTAAAGGTTCAGAGTTCTTCTTTAAAAAGGAGGTCTGTTAAATAATTACATTCACTTTACTATTCTTCATGGTCAAAAAGCCTTTAAATGACAATTCTATTATTTTATAGAACACTGGCAAATAAAAACTCTTCTATAGAAATACCACTGTATCCTTAAGTATTTCACTCCATGCTTTAGAGCGAAAAAAAAAAAATCAGTACTTACACCTTTAGAACTTTCTATATTGTTTCTAATAGTTTGGATTTTAGCAAGAGACCTAACAATCGCAAATAACAGGAATTTTATAGATACTCTCGAAATCACTGCTCTGATTTTATACATCATGACAGTATGTAGTTTGTATACAGAAAAATACAATTGCATGTTACCGACAGTATCTACGGAAGTATCTAAAACCACTAAGATTTTGGCTTGCAACTAAGAAACAAAATGCCGTTCACTTTCCTAGAACTGAGTGAAAGGGGTGCTGCTGTTTCACAGACATGAGCTGGCAGTGGCTCCTAGGAAGCCTACTATCGCACTGAGAAAATATGGGCTGAAAAGCACTAACAAGCCTGCTTCCTCCTATCAAATAAAATCTTGGCTGCACCTTCCTGCAGCCAAGGATGTAGATAACTCAGAAGTCTCTCAATGATCACAGCCAGGCATGTCCTGGTACATGCAACTAACCTATCTCTGGCACAGAAGTTTCACACAACTGCTTACAAATCTCAAGTGTCTTAAGGGCCCTGAAGAAGCCATTTGCATGACCTCAGCCAGACCTACTCTACTGCTGGGGGCTCACAGGCTAGTATTAAGGAGGTCGAGCTTTGCTACCATAAACAATGAATGAAATTAAACTGAAGAGCTGAACTGATTCTTTCTTAATGAATTTGCATGAAGACTGTTCCCTTAAAAACAGAGAAGAGTGGTATTAACTGCAGAAAGGATTGCACAGTGGTTTTTCCAAACTATGTTTTACACTTCTGACATCCAATGTTCACATAGACACTTGCAAACAAAAGAATACTGTAACTGCAAAAAAAATTGTATTATTTCTACCTAGATTTCAGAGGACTGAAAGTCTGCTTTAAACAATGCAACTTTCTTATGAGGGTATGGCAGAGTCTTGGAAGAGTCAGGGTGCAAAGCAGCACTAAGCCACAAAACTCCTGGCAAAGCTCTGCTCAAAGCATCCTTTCATAGGACAAATTACAAAAATCTACTTCTCTTGAAACCCTCCTGCCTCAGCCATCAAGTCTCAAGAACAGTTGCATGCTGTTTTCCTGTTCTTTGACAGTGATTAAATACGCACCAAAAAAGTGTGTGGGGGAAATAACTGTGCAACTTGGGGAACTTTCAATTATTTGTTTGCCAAAGCAGCGGTCTGTGTCTTTCCCAGTACTACGCTTGTGATAAGTACACCGAGTGGATTGCTGTACTGTGGCATCTCTTCATATTCATTCCAATTCATGCACCTGCTACCCTTACCATTTAATTCCAGCCTGGGAAATAAACATCTGTTCTATCATGCTATGTTAGAGAAAGCAGCTTACCTGACCTTGGTTTGAGACCAAATGGACCATGAGCATTACTATCTGTTCTTTCATAATCCTGTTAAAAGAGATAAAGTAAATTTTCTTCCGTTCATTAAAAGAATTAACTTTTGTTCCTATCAAGATAGTGTTTAAATTACTCTTGCCTAAGAAAAGTGAGTCCTTCTGCTTAACTGTAACACACCCTTTCGAAGAGGACAGTATAAAATAAATGGAATTAAAGTAAGTTCACTACATGCAGATAAAATTATCTTACTGAGGAAGAAAAGCAGCACCAGATTAACTAAAATCTACTCTAAACCATTTCAAACTACTGGAAACCATTCTGTGAACAGAGTTCTAAGCCAGCTGTAAACCAATGCAAATAACCTCCCAATGTTAGCATCAAAATATTTCTTAATATTTCAATTATGAAGATCAGGTTTTTCTCATTTCACCATCTAAAAAGAAAGATGCACTCAGTAATTTGGTATGTGCATGAGAGATCCTTATTTCAACTCATTTCATTGTATTTGGGATATGTTCTCATTCTGCTCCCTCAGGTTCCTTATTGACATGAGATAGAAACATTAATAATCTTTGGTATGCTTTATTCAGAGCTCAGTAGTGTAGTGCAGCCACAGTGAGACTACATGGACATCCCTTAAAAAAAGAAAGCAACCAGTGAATGAAGCTGCAAGGCTGCACCACAAAGGCAACAGCCAGAACTGTGAAGGATGAAACTCGCTTAAGAGGTGTCAGTACGTTTGGGTTCCCTGTGATATATAAAATACTAAACCACAAGTTCTACTTAAAATCCTCTGGATGGCTACTGCATAGGGGACACCTACAAAATATGGCAAATTTGATTTTTGTTTTATTAGCTATTTTCATTAGGAAAGATAATGGAGACAAAAGCAATGCACCTTTCTACACACCAGTCAAAAAGAAGAAATCTAGGAGAGATCAGACAGTTGCGAAGGTAAAACAAGTTGTAAAATCTGTGTCTAGTTTCTATCTATTTTTGAATTTTTATTATGATGAAATATTTCTAATTGCAGTTTCAAAGGAAACTGACAGCTTTATGTCTGCATGGAAAACCTGATGACAAGTAATGAGCACAAAGAAATGTCTGTTGAATGAAAAACAAAACCACAAACTTGTACCTCAGACGACACAGGAGACTGTGGGGACACATTAGTATTATCACTGTCTTGCTAAAAAGAAATCAAAGAGATGAAATTATAAAAATGAAAATTATGATTTAACAAGAAACATGAAATTATGAAATACACAATACATGAGACATGCAACATTTGTCAAGTATGCGACAAACTGGCAGCAACTAAATTTAAAAACGTGTAAGTCAAGGAAACACTGTTCATTGTTTATGTCAAATATTACTTTTACATTACCTCTGCTTGATAGCTGAATTAACTTTCCTATTACCAAAGCAAGTAAATGTCCTACTTTTCCCCAGTACGCAATCTTGATGACTGTTTTCAAATAAAGGAGTATAATACTTATTTCTGCTCTGGCTTTGGAATGCAAAGTTTGTTTGCGTGGACTTTAGCGAATGTTCTCCTGTTCTGTGACTGTGGCTCATAGGTGTTCATAAAAGACAAATGAATAAATTGTTTTCTTAAATATTTTTACACAATTACTATTTCTCACCTCATTTTCATTTCCACTTGAACTCTTTCTGGAAGACTTATACTGCAAAACACACAGAATTATTACTTTAAAATGGAAATATGGTTTTCATTTGAACTAAATGGCTTGATATCACTCAGATGTTACTTATTACTGGTGAAGCTGCTGAGAAAAAAAACCATGTTACAGAAACAAAGGAGTAAAAAAGAAACAAAGCAGAAAAGGAGTATCTAGTTCCTAGGCTAGTCAAGATCTTCATTATGTTGATGAGATAAGACCATTTTAAAACTAAATACTTATATAATGTGAACTCTGACTGCATATGACAGCTGATCCAAGTGAAAAGACCTTAACAACTGTTACTCTGAAGCATTATTTGTTAGAAAAAATTATGCAACCCGTGAAAGTTACTTTTACAGTATGTTTTGTTATGTAACTTTAAAATTGCTTACACTTTGAGATTGACTTGACATTGTAAAAAATTAACAAAAAAAAAAATCAGTATTTCCTTTACAACTTCAAAGCCTGATCACATACTTCTATCTGTTTAAGACCAGCACTTTTTCCACAGTTCTGTCTGATCTGTTGTGCACTGCCTTCATCACTGTCCCACTTCCTGATTATCCTGAAAGTGTAGGAAATGAAGGAAGGATTGAAGGAAGAAATTTACAAAAGCAGTATTTAAGAAAATAAGCATGTTTCATTGTCCGCAGAAAGTGGACAAAAAAATAGAAAAAACCATACAGCTAGAATTAAAAAGATCCATCACTACAAAACTCTGATAAGTGCATTGTGTGTATGTGGCCGGCCTACCCATCTTTATGATATAACACATAACACAGGCTAAATCAAGAGACAAACTTAGGAAGGATGGCTCTCCTTCAAAGATCTGACTTTTAGGGGTACATATAGCTTTTAGTTAGAAGAATTTCTTAAAAATGGAAGAAAAACCTGACTTGCAACTATGTTCTTTAATATTAATAAACACGCAAACTTACATAGCTCTGTTATAGAAAGCTGTATTTCTCAGTTATGCATAGAAGATGCTTGCCTTCTTCAAAGTTATAACTGTGTACTGTTGGACTGTAAAATTGAAGAACTTTATAGAGCTGAATTTTCAACAGCTTTTGAAATGTGTGCTGAACGATGCTGACAACAATGACAAACAGCATCTCTTGAAAATCGAAGTCTAGGACAAACATAGCCTTTGTTAGCTACCCTACTGCTGTTCATTTTCTGTGCAAACTAAACATCTCTTTTGAAGAGTGATTGAATAAAGTGTCAGTTGTTGGTTTGTGGTATTCTTTTGTTGTTTTGGTTTTTTTGGTGGTTTTGGGTTTTTTGTTCGTTTGTTTTGAGAGGTTTTGGGGGGGTTGTGGATTTTTTTTTAATTTGTTTTGGCTGAGTTTTTTGGTGTGGGTTGTTTGTTTTTTTTTTTTTTTTAAACTATGCACAGAGTACAGGTAGAGACCTGGGTCAGATAGAGACCTATTACATATATCCATGACTGGCTATTTCTCTTCTTAGACTTATTTCCTGTATGTTTGCAGTTCAAGGGAATATATTGCTTTGGCAGCTGATAAGGCAAAGCCTAATTTTCTAAGCCCTGCAGACCCCCGCTGCTGACTTCTGTTTACACAGGCCTTTGGCCAGTTCTGTGTTCATATAACAAAGCTAGCACATAGTAATTCTTTTCCATTGTGGATACACTAACAAGAATTTCAGCTTGGATGTAGCTAGGATCCAAAACAACTACAAACTATTCCAGGAGAAGAAAAAAAAAAAAATGCATTTTGGTTGATAAAATTATCTTCAATCTTAAGTTTCTTTTTACATATTTAATGCAACAAAGATTTCAGGTTCCAGCGAGACTTCAGTGCAATGCCACAAGAAAAGGAGTTCTGATTCTCACGAGCATTCTCCTACCTTTCTGATGCACAGTACAATTGCACAATAAAAATATATAATATATATAATAAAGATGCTCTATAAATACTTCTGCATGCTGATCCAAGTAAATTTTCCCTGTTCTAATGACACCCATTACAGTAACTTGGCATGTATTCTTAAGATATTAATATCTGGCAGTACAGATATGATTATTCAATGAACTTTTTTGCCAAGAAAACATGGACACAATGCGAATTGTATTTTCACTGGTTTCTCAGAACAGCAGGGGTACCTACTTTTTTCTCCCAGTTTGCCGTGGAAGACAGACTTCGTTTCATCACTTGCTTATTGCCTTGTTTTTGCAAATGAAGCTATCAGTGACACAGTATTTTTTGTTACTGGCACAGCCTGCTTAATTCACTTTTGAGACATATCTATAGCTGTATGTAATGTGATTTCAGGTATCTGCTTCCATCACAGAGCTCAAAACTGAAATCTGTATTAGCATTTAAAGACATCCTTTAAAGTTATGAGGAATCACTAACGCAGGTCTTCTGTATTGATAGCACAGCTGTTTAATGAGTTAAATGACTGAATTCTGTTTTACTTAGAAGTTTCTCCCATTCCCCTCAAAGGCCGCAGGGCAAAATTAATTTAGGGATGAAAACCCTGGAAAGAGGTCAGTAGAATTCAAGTTAGGATACAACTCCATATACTCTTCAGAAAAAAACATTAATAGCTTCTATAATCAAAAGAATGTATCTGAGCTGTATGGCATGCTCTCTTTTTCCTAGAATTTAATTTCTTCGAAGTTTCCTAGCATTTCATAAAGATGTTTGATGGCAAAAGACCCAAGAAACTAATTTCATAAGTGACAAATTTAATTTTAACTCAACCTAGCACTGGTCAGAATTCTCCTATTTCTCTACCATACCCCAAAACAGATTTTATCTAATGCTGCTGTAACTTAGTATCTGTTTTGCACTAAGCAGATACTGACATCTGGTGACGAATGGTACACACTACAGCAGCAAAGTAATGCAGAGAAAATTTCCTCTCTAAAATGCAAACTAATGCAGTGAGAACCAAAATGCATAAATCGTTCTCATAACCAAGCTGCAAAAAAAGGTAATGTATATTTTCCTTGCACTACAAAAAAACCAGCCAAACCTCAAAATGGATGAGGAAGGACCAATGACTGAAGATTAGTTTCTGGCTTTACCAGAAGACAACTGTAAATGACTTTCTTTTATTTAAAGGATAAACAAAGTATTCTGTTGATTTTTTCCTCTTGATTCTCCTGCACTCTCACATTACCCTAAATACATACATATATACGTACATATATATTATTTAACTCAAAAGAGCCAAATAAAAAAATTACATGCAAAATTAAAAGCATGACAACCTTTGAGGTTTTCTTATCTTTACTTAGTCATAGTTTCTTCTACTCTCATTAAAAAAAAAAGTGTCACCCACCCACACTCCCCCCCATTACCTTGAAATACTCTCTTCTAATTTGTTTACTTCTCCTTCTTTCTTCATTCTGCCAAATCACTGGCTGTGTTTCTGGCCAATGCTGCTCATCCATTGAATCCTTCTGGTTTTCCCGTGGCTATAAGGTTCAGAAATATTTTTACATAAAAGGTAAATATACCTCGTGTGCGTTAACACTAATTATTATGAACTACAGTTATGAATTGTTTGCCTCTCTGATAATCTAGCTTTATGACATGGAAGTGTTATCAGTCTTAATGGTGATTCTGGTAGAAATCATTTACTTCCTTTAAAATCCTAAAACATATTTCATAGAAGAAAAAGAATCTATGAAGTAATTCTTGAGAAAACACCCTTTTCTGCACTGAGCCTAATTTTCGCAGGTATGTTCGGAAGCCACTTAAGACTGCCACAAATAACTTCAAAAAAACAGTTAGAAGTGTGGTTAGCCACTAGCATATCCAATTTCTCAATCTGAATACTCATTGCACAGGAAAAGGATGGCTACAAGAAGACAATTTAAGTATTTGTCTGCTGTTCCTATCTAAAAGATTATACACATCTTCTAGCTGTAAAAGAAATCTCTCTTTCAAAGTATTGTATTATGCAACGTATTCTGAACAGACAGCTAAAGTAGATTTATTCTTAAAATAACAATGAATATGTATGAATATGTCTGTTTTATTAAAACTGAAAGCAAACAATCCAAAGGGACCATTTCATAATAAGGCTAAAACTACATTTCCAACTATTTCTTCATATTAGAATACCACGCCATTTAAAGCAATTGCAAATACGCGATGGATTAAAATCTAAAATAATAAAAAAGTACCCTCTACAGTTTCACTGCAATTTTATTGTATCATGCAAGCTTCTCAATGAGGTATGGGGAATGGAAGGCCTACGTAATTCAAACCATTTAGAAATCTCAAAGAAAAGAATCATAGAATCATTAAGGTTG